TCAGGCCAGATCCCTGTGTCGATCATGCCGACGATAACATCTGACTCAAAGGGCCGACGTGGAGCGCTTGATGGAAAACCCATGAAGTTCCATGATCTTGTGGTGTGAAGTTGCCTTTGCTTGCTTGGGAACACAGAAACCAATTCTTCCATGCCTGAGTTTATACAACACAGCAAATTTGAAAAATTGATATTTTTCAAGCCAAATATTATGCATTAATAGCATTGAATTTATGATTGCAATTCTAGCTAGTTTTCTTTTGATTTATGTGCATATTTATATTACCAGATAACTTCCTTGCTTCTTCATCGGACAGCATAGCGGCGAAGCCATTAAAACTCTTGGTGTAACTATATATCAGACGCTTCGTCGCTTCCTCGTTGCTGCATTCAGCATTATTTTTGAATGGAAAATATGCATTTATATATAAGCAAAAAAATAATTAACTTGATATTTATTAAAAAAAAAATCGGAACCAGAAAATCGAGAAAAAAGATAGGACTTGTTTGGGCAGATCACCTTAATCCAGTTGCTTTCTGGAGCAGTTCTGAGTGAGCTAATGGTGGCAGGCCAACTAATTCGCTTGGCTTTTCTCCCATGTACACGATGTATGGCTATAGATTGTTCACATTAAAAAATTGCATGCAATTGTGGTAAATAAAAGAAATAATAAATATTGTGAAATGAATATTGCAATCATACTCTTTGGTTGAGCTCTGTGGTCTCCGCATGGCTTCTGAGAGCCTTCGTTGCAAGCATTAGGAGAAGAAATGAAGATAGCAAAGGGAATAATTGCCGATCCATAATCGCGATTAATTTTGAGTTTAAGGAGGCAAAACCCAATTTGTTACTGCCATTCTATGGAAGGGTGATGGGTTTATATAGGCGTTTTTTGTGCAAGGAATTATATTTATTAACTAAGAGTTGCCAGTGAGGAGAAACAACTTCAGCTTTGAATTCTTCCTTGGACGTAAATTCTGTAAGGAATTCCCTATAAATGATCTATATAATATTCTTAAGAAAATTATGCCAAAATACTTAATCCGTCTACTTCTACGTGTTTTTTATTTTTTATTTTTTTTTAATTTTCAATGGAATAAGCAATGAAATTTATTATCAGATAATTAACTATAAGCACTTATGTCTCTATTTTGTCAGATAATGTTTTTTATAGAATTTAAATTTTAGTATGTACAAATAATGCTTTTATTTTTATTTTCCTACGATTTTTATATTGCATTTACGTAAATTCAACGTAAAATCTTTATGATAAGACTTATTAGAATTTTATCACAATAAATTTTAAAATATTTGAATTTATTCTTAAAGACATCTCCAATAAAATAAATCTATTTTTCAATTCAAAATATAATAAGAGTTATATTAAACTTACGCTCATTAGAGCTGGAAATGGGCAAGTATGGCTCGGTCAGAAATGTCCTAAATGAAAAAATATTAAAACTGATCAATGTTATTCATTTATATTTTAAAATCTCAAAAAAGGCAATTTGCCGTACGTTTTTTAAACGTTCAGATGAATCGAGATCAAGACAAACCCAAAAGCAATAGCCAACAAGCAACTACAGAATTTTTTTTTTTTTTTTTTTTCAGATTTTGACTTTGGCATAGAAATGTGAGTGTGTCCTTTTGAAAAATTATTTTGTGCAGACCCACATGATGTCTGGAGATCGACCAATCAGAACATGTTATGTCATTTTTTTGCTCAGTACCCGTGCTAGCTAGGTATCACTGTATACCGGATGACGTGGCATATTCTGATTAATTTCCAGACCATCCGGTGTCCGCATAAAATAATTTCTCACTCTAAAGACTATTTCTAATATTTTATGAAAATACCGTATCCGTGAGGCATAAGCTATCAAATAAGTTAAATATATATTAAAAATTAGATCTTGGGCAACCAGAAGGCATAGACTACTGGGTTCGAATTGTAAGATCAAAAATGTGCACGCTTCTTGACTTGGGCAATGCCTGATTAAATGTTAAGTCAATAAACTAAGAGTTTCCTAGAAATTCTGCCCAATATGAGAAATCTTTTCTTATTTTGGTAGAATAAAATCTAATATTGCCTCTTCTCTCTTGAAGGAGAAAAAAATATCCTCTTATATGCTCATATTGCCCTAACATTTAAGAGAGGCTTATAATAACTATTAAGATTCAAAAGAAAAAATTGCATCGAGCCATTTGGAATGGATGGAAAGAACCAACATCGCCCATGATTGTTGAGTTAAATTTTGGCCCTAAGAGTTATTATAGCAAAGTGATGGTAAGCGCTATGCCTAGCTAGTATATTCATCAGAACTAACGAGAGGCCACAAAATTACATTAGTAGAAAATTATAGACTAGTTCTATAACAACTCGACCATTTCCATATTTATTGGGTTGATTGTCATATTTTGTTCCGATTGAGTTCCAAACTCACAAGCAAATTTGTTGGATCTTTGTTTTTGGACACAATCATATCATATTGGATCAACATTAAAACAATATGTTCAAAACCATGAAAAAAGTCTGTAACTTTTCTATTGAATTAATTATATTAGACATATTCATAAATCCTATTTGATCAAATCCAAAAAAGAGCCTGTAACTAGGGGTGTCAAATTCGGGTCACGGGTCGGGTTCGGGTTGAACCTGAAACTGACCCGACACTATTCATTTCGACCTAAACCCGACTCGTTTTTTGCAAATGGGTCGGTTTTCAGGACCCAAACCGACCTGCTTCAAGTCCGGATCAACCCAAAACGACCTGAATGACCCAGTGCCAACAAAAAATTGCTAGTTTTTGAGACAAAAATGGGTCAATATTCACTTTTTGGGTCAAAAACGGGTCAAAATGGGCCAATCTCGTGTTTTTGGGTCAAAAACGGATTTTCGGATAAAAAACTGATCAATTTTTGGTGAAAGGGACAAATCGAACCCGACCCAATTTTTGAAACCAATCGAAATGTTGAACTCGAACTCGACCTATTTCAGGTTCGAGTTGACCCTAACCCAAAATTTTTGGGTCGTGTTCGAGTCGGGTTTTTGGGTCGTGTCAAATATTGACAACCCTACATGTAATGCCCTAAGACCTAAAGGAGGAATTTGAACCTAAATTCCTATACTTCTACATTTGTCATCATTAATAAATTCATATACACTAGAGCCAACAAAATATAAATAATCTATAAAAAAAATATTCTATGTACACAAACCACATATTCACTTCTCGAAATAATCATTTACAAAAGTCCATATTTTAATACTTTCAACAAATAATATAAATACAATATGAGATACTAAATCATAAATAAATGCTAAACCTGGCCTTCTGCTTCATATCAAACTAGACCTACTCAATAGAACCCTTATCTTTGCCTGAAATGATATAACGAAGTGAGAATATAACTCAGTTGGTCAATCCCATTTCCCATTACAGAATTCAATGCAAAATATTGAAAGAAATTAAAATAAAATTATAAGAATAGTGTAGCTTTAAGTTTTAGGTATATGAATGCAAAATCCATATTGATACCACTTACAACTCCCAAATTTTCAACCTCCCACCTGTTCAAGATAAATGCATAGCTAGCAAAATCAAAATAGAACATAATTCCAATACAAAGCCAATTCAAAGCAAAAACAAATATTCCAATACACAATATTTCTACCATGAGCCCAAGCACAAATTTTTCAGGGCATTTTCCTTTTTCATTTCAAAAACTCCATATCATAAAACATATAATTATGAAAATGTAGCACGCAATTGAATTTTCTAAGCAAATGGCATCATATGTCAACTTGTATAGAAATCCTCCATATTTCAGTTGCCAATACAAAGTGCTCAAAACTTTACCAATTTCATAGAGGTTGTGTATAATGCTAAAATAACACATTTTATTAACTGACTGTAGTTCAAAAATGCCACCATCTTTCAGAATAATAAAAAATTAATATAGAACAAATTGATGAATGAAATGTTATATTTTTATAATCAAATAGTCTTGAAAGAAAAATAAAGTAATATACTAAAATTTACATGATATAATCTTTTTAAAACATAAGAAAAACTCTTTTAAAAGTATGTTTTTCATTGTACACATTGTAATTGAAAACAAGAACGGGGTATGGGTTGCCTACTTCAGCCTGAAAATTCTCCTAACTGACTGAACAGACGAAAATCGGATTTCGAACCTTGAATATTATCCTTTTCCTTCTCTTTCCTTCATCTCCTCTCCTTTATTCCTTTGCAAGTTGATGAGCGTTTGGGTTGGCACTATTGTTTTTAAATATTTATTATTTTAAAAAGCTTTAATTTGGCCTAATAACGTCATCTAGGCGCTTCAACCTCCAACACTGCAGCACTACCAACAAAACACCCAAACTCTCCTAAATTCTGACAAACTTTCATAGGTTACATTCTCATCAACACAATGACACTACCTTGCCATAACACTCACCCAAAATTTCATTTTCTCCATTTACCTGAGAGCACCATGCTGCACCGCTCTCTAAAGCAAAAAAAAATCAAACATCTGAATTTCAGATTCTTAACCCAAATCTTTTATCATTATAAGCTTCAAATAATCCACTAACACTTACAACTACAAAAATAATTAAAATTATAATTTTAAGCAGATAATTATCTACATTTCATATGATAGATATTATAAAGCCTACCCTAACTTACTCTAAAAAGATAGATTGGTTTATGATGGCAATACTTGAGCATCAATTTTACTCAACGGTTTTTGCTAAAATCTTACCTTCAGAAGAAAATTCATCAATTCCACCTAGCTCCAACTACAGGGTATCAAAAGCTCCCATCAACTTCCTCTTGAACATTTTAAGAAACATAAATTTCACTTCATCCATTCATAGTTAGATGACGAACTCTTATCACACAAATTAAGGAAAAATGGATCGACCAACTTTATAGCCTATCTCCAACAACTTTTCAGGTTACATACACAAATTAAGGAAAAATGCATCCATCTAGACAAGGAAACCTGCAATCAAAATCTCAAGACCACTCTGAACATCATCATATAACGCTCAGAAAATTTAGGAAACATTAAGTCTTCGTTTAAGTTGGCTTTCTTGCTGCTTCTTAATATATCTTTCTAGTGTAAAATTTTTAATTTTTATACTAAAAAACTGCTTTAAAAAGCACTAAAAAAAACATCCCAAATGAAGCATAAGATCCAATCTTATTCTATCTATCTTGACATTTCTTAAAATCCACCAAAATCTGTTATCTACTCAAAATCATAAGTTCACATCTGAAGATAACTCTCAACCATTACTTTCAACTATTTAACCAGCTAAAAATATATTTTTTGACATAATCATTCAAATCAGCCCATACTAGTCAAATATGGACTAGTGTTGACATTTATTCTACATAAACCCTCTAAACCCCTAAACTTTCCTCAACAAACTTCAATGTTCATACACAAAAATTGAACTATAGACTCATAGTTATTTATTTCCATTAATCTCAACTAATGGCCAACCATCATCATCATATTTGATATATTGGCAATATGTGAAGAAGAAAAATTTGTCAAGTTTTGGAATAACATTGAAAAATTTTCTTGTAATCAATCTACCGCTAAAGGCTTGTGAATCACTCCAAAATTTTGATTAGTGAATCCATTTTTATCATATTTTCATTCCAACAACATAACATAATATCCAGCCTTCTATAAATTAAGTATCATAAGCTTCCAAGAAGAATTTTGTAATGAGTTGGATCTTTTTTCCACCTTCATCAATTTTGGACAACATAAATATTACA